AAAATGTGTACACCGACTGCCAAATTCCACAATCTTTAAGGAAATTTGCTAAGATTGTGAGCCATTGTGTACGATTGTGAGTGATTGTGTACGATTGTGAATGATTGTATAAGAATTGTGACTGATTGTGAGCGATTGTGACTGATTCTGTCATGATTGTGAGTGATTGTGACTGATTATGTCATTATTGTGAGTGATTGTGTAAGGATTGTGAAGGATTGTGTAAAGACTTAAGGTGTTTTCTCATGTGTCAAATGCTCGGTCAAATGTTTAAAACTGGTTTAAAACAATGTCACATGACGTCATAGCTTCTCGGCTCAAGAAAATGGTTTTAAAACGTGGATTGGATTTTATTTCGAAACGGTTTGACCAATTTTGATGATAATTGGGTTAGAATAAAATAACAAAATATCAGAAGTAATTTTTTTTTTGTAATTATAACAAATTGAAAACTATTACCATAAGCAATGTGTAAAGAATATCCAGTTTTTTTATCTTTCCTATACACATTACTCTGATTGAGCAGTTGTACAGTTTGGCGCAGAGGAAACGCATGTTTTTCACATAGTTATAAGCAAACATAACATTTTTAATCTTCAAGATAATTTTGTTTCAATTAGGTATTCGATTAGGTACAGCTAAATGAAGTGATAATAGTGCACTTTTCAATAAATAACGGAAAATAGTGTCAGTCAAGGAGTGTCGTCCTGCTTTGGGGTCACACATCTTCAACCCCTCTTGAAAGTTGTTCATCACACTTGAAACATGCGTTTCCTCTGCGCCACCTATGGAATCAGAGTTTTTTAAATAGGTATACTTATACCGGGTGTTTGAATTTAGAAAAAAATCATCACAGACAGACGTAAAAGACAAAAGTTGTAATAAAACAGGAAGAAGATGAAAAATAATGAAGACTTTGATGTGAGATATATACTTTTTCCAAATTAGGCTTTTATTTGCTTAAAAACATTGTTATTTTTTTATGACTCAACCTTGATATTGTAAATGGATTATTTTTAAAATGGTTTGTACCATATACAGGATGTTACAAATTCGCGAGTAAGTATGCGGATCTCGGTATCCATAATAGATACAGGTTCGATCAAATTGGGGCAAAGTTACACAGTTTCCTTCTCGGTTTCTTGCTCACGAAAATGCCGTTTTGAAATCTGGAAAATTCCGAATACTTCCGGAGGTATTCGGAAAAAAACGAAATTTTGCAATTTTTTTCTCCTCTGCTTGGGCGCTTTCTTTTATTCAGCGGTGGATCCATCGGCAATCAGCCTCTCTTTGTCTAGATCATAGAAAATTGGAATGTCTGTTCCATAATGCTGGCAGCAGATGGATCCCTTGCTGAATAAAAGAACGCGCCCCTTATTTGAAGCGAAACTTCGAAATAAATGACACTTCAGCATTGCCACTCTTTCTCCTCTACAATGTGGTGTTCTCAAATTTGGAATCCGACGTTTCGTCTTTGGACCAACATCATCAACTTTATGCTATTAAATACGGATCTGGATTCTTTATTTAGTTCTTTGTTAGTTTTTGACTTCGTTAATAGAATGGTGTATCAAAACAATTGATAAAATGAACATTTCAATTAAAAAAGTATATAATTTGTATGGAGATACTCATCTTTGTCAAACACATTGTTTTCTTCATAAATTTGTCTTTGTCAAACTCAATATTTAAAACAAATATATTAGTTGGGTAAATTGTATCAATGAGTATCCCCATATAAATTATATTATACTTTTTTGACTAAAATGTTCATTTTATCGATTGTTTTGATACACCATTCCATTGAAAAAGTCAGCTAGCAAAGAACTACACAAAATCCAGAGCCGTATTCAAAAAAATAAAGTTGATGGTCGGGTGGCCCAAAGACGAAACTCGGATTTCAAATTTGAAAATGCCATATTGTGGAAAAAAAAAAAAAAATGGCAATGATGAAGTGCCATTCATGTTGAAGTATCTCTTCAAAAATATGATCAGAGGAAAAAATAAAAACGGCTTCGTTTTTTTAGTACCTATCTAGAATTTTCCAGATTTTGAAACAGCATTTTGGTGAGCAAGAAATTGCCTAACTTTGCCCCAATTTAAATAAACCTGCATCTCTTATGGTTATCCAGTAGCCGATTTACAATTTCACTAGTCGACACGAGTCGAGCGTCTCGTATAGGCAGCATCAACGTTATTTTCGAGTGGCATTCTTCGACATCGAGCAATTAGAATCCGCATCCAGATCCATATACTTACTCGTGAATTTGTAAACACTCTATACAATTTTTTTTTCTACAACGTCTAGGTCTGGATTTTTAGGCCATCTGAGGTGAATTCGTTTTGGTTTTCAAGTTAAATGTTTTTAACCTCATTTTTAACTCTCACGCACATCAAGCACCTACCTCAATGGCAACCAAACATTTCTGAGGTTGGGTGTCAATGGTGCTGCAGGTGGATATACAAAAGTAAGCTCATCAAACAGGCTTATTGGCTTATTATTATAGGCGAAAATGAAATAAATAAAACTATTTATAGGGACCTCACATGCGACAAATGGTGGTAGATTGTGTAGCGATTGTGGGAGATTGTGTAACAATTGTGAGATATTGTGCCACAATTGTGAGAGATTGTGTGTGATTGTGTAAGGATTGTGACAGATTGTGTGAGATTGTGACAGATTGTGAACGATTGTGATCTGATTGTGAATGATTGTGTGAAGATTGTGAGAAATATGTACACCGACTGCAAGAGCTATTCACCCCTCGGCTCAAGTTAATGGGTATATATCTGAAATTTTCAACAAAATAAACAAATACTTCAAGACTTGTGTGTGGCCAGTTACAAATTGATAAGTACAGTCAACAGACCAGTTTTTACCATTCCGCTTGATAAACAAATTGCTACTATGTATTTCTATGATTTCTTTGTCTTCCTACATAAGAGCTCATAACAATGAAAGTGTGAGTTAAAAAACTTTGAAATGAAAGAAAAAGCTGTGCAATATTATTTAACTTGTAAATGAGTGGTTTGGTTTAAACCACAATATTTGCCTTTTGTCTAAAAATAAATACATATTATGATGAATCAGGAAATTAAAATGTAATAATAGGTCAGTTTGCTTTTGTTTGTTGGGGTAAATGAAAAACGCTCGGAAAAAACGACTCTTATCAAGGAAATATTGAGGGTAAAACGACACTTATCAAGGAAATATTGAGGGAAAAACATTTTTGAATAAAGAAAATTGTGCTTACAGGGAGAACGTCTGTACTTGACATGTATAATAATAAAAGGCATACAGGGTGTCACGAAAGGTTTGTTACAAACTTCTAGGGATGGTAGATCTCGTAAAAATAAAACTTTTTTCTTGATAAACATGTGTCCGGAAATGCTTCGTTTTCCAGATATACAGGGTGGCCCAAATTTGAGCCTCATCATTGGGATCTCGGTAACCGTAAGAGATACGGGGTCGGTTAAATTATGGCAATTTTATGACCAATAGAATACCGTTTTGAAAGATTCCGAATACTTCCGGAGATATTCGGAAAAAAACAAAATTTTGATAAATCGTTTTTTTTTTTCCCGGGCTTATTTGAAAAGCAATTTTAAAATAAATGTCACTTCATCATTGTCACTTCTTCCCCTTTAGAAGATGGTGGTACTAAATTTGAAATTTGACGTTTCGTCTTCAGGCGGCCATCCTTAACTTACGTTTTTTAAATACGAACCTAGATTTTTTATTTGCGATTTTGTCATCTTTGGGCATCCTAAAACCGATACTGTTTATAATTTTTCAATAACACGGTAAAAAAGCAGGTCCGTATATGAAAAACGTCAGATTTCAAATTTTATACTGCCATCTTGAAAAGAAGAGAAACTGACAATGGGAATGTGAAATTAGTTTTTCAAAATCTTTTTAAAGGAAATCAGGAAAAAATTTAAGAAAAACAAGATTTTTTTTTTTTTCCGTATAGTTTTCATTTTTTCCTGATTTTATTTAAAAAGATTGTGGAAAACTAATTTCACCTTGCCATTGTCACTTTTTCTTCTCTACAAGATGGCGGTATTAAATTTAAAATCCAATATTTCGTTCCTCTGAAATCATCATTAATTTTTTTTTTAAATACGGACTTGCTTTTTTTGCTGTGTTATTGAAAAATTATAAACAGTATCGCTTTTAGGATGCGCAAAGATGACAAAATCGCAAATAAAAAATCCAGGTCTGTATTAAAAAAAAGGAAGTTGAGGATGGCCGCCTGAAGGCGAAACGTCGAATTTTAAATTTAGTAGCACCATCTTCTAAAGGAGAAAAAGTGACAATGATGAAGTGACATTTATTTTAAAATTGCTTTTCAAATAAGCCCGGGAAAAAATAAAAACGATTTTACAAAATTTTGGTTATTTTCGAATATCTCCGGAAGTATTTGGAATCTTTCTAGTTTCAAAACGGTATTCTATTGGTCATAAAATTGCGCAACTTTGCCCTAATTTAACCGACCCCGTATCTCTTACGGTTACCGAGATCCCAATGATGAGGCTCAAATTTGGGCCATCCTGTATATCTGGAAAACGAAGCATTTCCGGACACATGTTTATTAAGAAAAAAGTTTTATTTTTACGAGATCTACTATCCCTAGAAGTTTGTAACAAACCTTTCGTGACACCCTGTATACCTCGGTAGTCAGTACATAAATACTAGGTACTAATATTGTGGAAATATGATTGTCATCCCTCCTAGTTCAGACTTACTTATGAGGAATAAGGAAATACTTGTTAAAACAAATATCATAGAGGTACACAAATTTTCTCTAAAATCTTACTCATTAAAATCCAAGAATTATGATTTAGGAATGGGTAATGAATAATCCCAGGAATAATTATTATGTAACAAGTTTTTATTGGTAATTTTATAGCAAAACAATGCAAATCAATATATTGAGCTTAGTCTGACTATTAATTAGGGATCTCGCCTTATTGTAATAGATTTTATGAGAACTTACCTTCTCTCAGCCTTTTCCACCTCTTTTAGTTGCAAATAAATCTTAGGTCCTTGACTGAACCACTCATAAACTTCACTATTAAAAATACTAGGTTTAATTAATCCCTGTTGCTGACTCTCTTTGGTAGGATGGGGTAAACAAAAATAAATCCTACCAACAACACTTTGGGGCACAGTTATGTTATAACGTCCCCACGTATTACGGTCCGTCTGAACTTCACTGATATTATAGCTAAAGTCCGCATCCTTACAATTTGCATTTCGTTGCGTTTCTTTCTGGTTGATTTTAACGCGCATTTTGGGGTGAATGTTGCGGCCCCGCACTTCGAACATGATATTGGTAAACGACACATTGTTCAATGTAAAATTCGACGATTCTTTCGCTTCTAAATGGAAAAATTCTGGAATGTTATTTTCCTCCAAGCTGGCTATTTCAGCAACCAGGAAACAAGTCAGAAGTAGGAGGCATTTTAGGATTTCGGAGCCGCGAGACGACGCTCTCGCCATGATATTTAAAACTAAACTGAGAGAAAAAATAAAAACAAGAGGTATTTTATAACCTATTTTTGATGTGACAGCAGACAGCATCAGAAAAAATCAATTATAACTCAATATAACATATCTGTCTCCCTTCAACTTCATATATTAAACCGAGACAAAACAATTGGTTTCGTTTTTGTTAATCGCTACCAAGGTTCCAATCGCGACAAGGACAAGGTGTAGCACCATTGACGACGTTTCAACTACGTCGTCAGCTGTTTGCGCCAGCGGTCGTGGTTTAGAATATATTTATTTATGATGAAAAATGTTATTTAATTTTGATAAACATAATAGGCAAAGAGAAAGATGCAAACGAGATCTAAAAAGGCGATGTTTTAAAATGTTAATTAATTGTACTAAAACCAAGTAGGTATGGTAAACTTCAAATTTGTTGACATATGGAACATCTCCGACGGACAAAATCAGGCAAAGCCAGATATTTTGATATTTGCTTTAGTTCTGTATGCCAGCAAAAACGATAATTTTTCGCGCACACACTTCGGTTTTGCGTCGTTTTTGCTCGACCAGATTTGTTCGTCGAATAAAGTAGGAAGGTATGTTCTAGAGGGGCCCACAGACTGCGTTTTTGATCGACAAGCAAATCTGGTCGAGCAAAAACGACGGATCGGAGTTGCACATAGACCTCGGTTTAGTTTGGCGAAGATACGTCATGTTGAAAAGTATTTAATTTTTTTTTTTCTTTTTTTTAATAAGTTAAATACCTATAAAATTCTGTAGCTACGCACCACACATTGGCACACATCACACAAAACCTTCGTTTTTACTTTTAAAGGCCCCCACAGACTTTGTTTTTATTTGACGGTTTTGTTCGACAAGCAAATTTGGTCGAGCAAAAACGACAGGTCAAAGTTGCCCACAGACCTCGGTTTAGTTTGGCGAACATCAGTCATGTTGGAAAGTTTTTAATCTTTTTTTAATTTCAATAATGTAAAATTACGTAGCTATACGCACCATACACCATACAAAGCCGTCGTTTTTAAAATTCGTAGCCCACACACTTCAGATTTGTTCACATATCCGACAGACAAAAATCAGGCGAAGCCAGGTATTTGCATCGGTTTTGTATGCCAGCAAAAACGACAGTTTTTCGCACACACACTTCGGTTTTGCGTCGTTTTTGCCCGACCAGATTTGCTTCTCGAACAAATCCATCCAACAAAAATGCAGTCTTTGGGGCCCTTTAGAATTCGTTAGCCCACACACTACATTTGTTGACATATCGAACATCTCCGATCCGACTGACTAAATCGGGCAAAACATATTTGCATCGGTTTTGTATGCCAACACAGCAAAAACGAGAATTTTTTTCGCACACACACTTCGGTTTTGCAATGTTTTTGCTCGACCAGATTTGCTCGTCGAACAATACCGTCCAACAAAATCGCAGTCTGTGGGCCCAGAAATCACAAGCCAGTCTGACTATTTTCAACCAATGAAATTCGCTCTTAGTGGTTTGTGATTGCTGTGAGAACAGAACAACAAAAACGAAAAACGCAGTCTGTTTAGTTGTATTCCTTTCACACCTATGAGGAGCTCCGGACCAGCTCCGGGGCGTTACGCTCTTATTCCTTTCGAAAAGTGTTTGTTGCACCTGAGTGCTCAAGCCCCAAGTAAACCATTTAAATGCACGAAAGTCAGCGCATCTATTCTTTTCAAATCGGGGCGACTAACACCGGAGCGAGTAACTCTAGTGTTTGAAACTCTTGAAAGGAATACAGCTAGTGGCATCGGTCTGTAGTGTGGGCCCATCTTTTTTGGGCAACGGACATGCATTTTCATTTACCGACAGACAGTGCGTGAAGTTTGGCGCGCTTGTTCGGAGACGGGTATTAACTAGGCGAATTCGGTGCTCCGGACTCGGATCGTTTACTTCGTTCGGAGCAAAATGCTCTAATGAAATATCCACCTTCGCAAACGTGTAAATAAATAATACTATATAGTCCTTGGGCCCAGATCTAAATTTATTATTTATGACCACACCGTCGAAACTTTTTGTATTTGCTATTTGGGTGGAGTCGGACAAATTTTGAGCTCAGCCACAGCCTCCTATAGTTAACAAGCCATGAAATTGGAAATGACGGCAACGTCGCGTATGGTGCTATTTTGTTATTGGGTTATGTGTTTCTGTGTATTGCTTTCATTGTGTATTGTTGCAATTTAGTATTTTTATAGGCATTATCGACGAAAAAGTGGATAGAAACACACCAATATATTGCTCATATTTAGTTGATACCTGTTCCTTTGTGCTTTGATTGCAAATTTTTAGCAAATGGGTACAGGAGCAAAAATGAAGGTAAGGTAAGGTAAAACAATAAAAACAATATTAATATTTGTCTGCAAGAGCATAGGTCTCGATATATTACCTAAGATATTTAAACGTGTTCCAGATGCCATGAAACTACTGTGTTCCTGGGTGCAAATCGAACTATTAGGAGTTCCTTAAAAACTGAAGAAATGCAAACATTTTTATTTCCAAAAAAATTCTGAAGTGCAAAAAATGTGGATGAAAGCAATACACCAAGATAATTATACCCGAGATTATACAATAACGAAAAATTCTGTGGTGTGTTGTAAACATTTTGAAAAAACCGAAATAATTAGATTTGAAACAAACAAGGATAAAGGCGTAGTTCGAGAGTTCAAACTAAAACGTCCAACTCTTAAAAGTAGGTACCTCTTATTTTCGAAAATCAGCTCAAGTATTTGAATGGACTTGCCTTCCGAAAAAATCCCGAAGAAAGAAAAAGTTAGATTTTTCAAAAGACATACTGAAACATAGGCCTATAACACTTTAGACTCTAGAAATATATTCATTTAAATCAATTATTTACTGTTCTTATTTACACAAATAGTTAAATTATTCATTGAATTACTGTTTTTGGCCCTTTAGTACAATAAATTATGTATTTTTTGTGATTCATATTAATAAAATAAAAAATATATATTTATACAAACAAACACCACCAGCACCACTTGGCGGTGAGATTGCGGTGTTGCCTTTTTAACTTCATGGCTTGTTAAATGTAGGGGGCTGTGGCTCAGCGCATTATGGTAGTGGGGCGTTTGTCTGTCAAGCTGTCACGAAGTTGTCGATTTTATGCAAGAAAAAAATTTATGACCACATTGGTAATTTTTTTTTAATCAATAGTTTTTATCACATAAACAACGAAAAAAAATGTGTCGGACAAAAATATTGGGGCATTCGTCGCGTCGGACATGCTAAATATGTCAAATTTATGGGAATTTTTTTTTTATTACCACACGGCTGATTTGAACAGAATCTGCCATAAAAATATGTTACAATAACGTGGTAACCTTGTCGGACAATTTTCACGGGGCATATGCGCAGTCGGATGCGCCAAAGATGTCAATTTCCTGCAACAATTTTATTTACAACCATTTTTCCGACAAAAATAGGAGGGTTTAAGTAATTATATTCTAGATCAAAAAATCTAAGTGTCGGACAAAAATATTGGGGCATATCGACAGTCGGACAAAAAATGTAATTTTTATTGGTAATCGATATCTATTTCTTAACTATGCTGGGTTCAGGTATCCCTTTTTTTACAAATATTTTTCCGAAAAAGTAGAAGGTTTGCCAGTAATTATATTCTTAAATAAAAAATGTAATTGTCTGACAAAAATGTTGGGGCAAACATACAAGAAATTTAATTCTTATAGGCTATCGACGTTCTTAAATTATAAGGAAGTACCTAGATATAAAGAAAAAATACATAAAATTTTATCATTAAATATTATTTATTATTAAATAAATATGGTGAAAATAATATTATTCAATAAATAAGTATTAATAATAATACATGTCAGCGTTGGACTTATATTATTAATTTTCACCGTTTGTTATTAGTTTTCATAAAAAAATGTAGGTATTAAAAATTTAAAGGGCCAAGCGATGCGTTCACTGAAGCACACTCGAAAATAGGGCAACGCTGGTTGCTTTTGCCTTAACATTGATACGGTGACGAATCACCGAAAAACTGGGAACGCGAAAAATTGTATCAAAAAATTGTATCAAAAAATAACGGAAAAGCACTAGTACGGAAAAGTGATACTTTCATGACCTAAAATGCGTGCGGAAAACTATACTTTTCCGCACGCTCGTTTCACCGGCATCATTTGACATCAACTTTGAATTTAATCCATGATTAAAAATTCCGCTTAAATTTATAATCTTCGGTCAAATTTAAAGTTGGTGTCAAATGATAGCTTTTGGAAATCTAAGATAGAAATGTAAAATCGGTTTTCCTCTGAAATTAATTTAGGTTTTACAGTCTGTCAAAGATGCAAAAAAGTCAATTTTAAACTGTCAATACTTCCGAAACAGTTGAAGATAGGTATATGACATTGTACATGAAATATGTCTAGAATTTTCCGCAGAATCCAGAAATGTCATAATATACAGGGCTAGTCATCTAAAAAAACATAGCCTTGTGTCACCACTACTTATTGGGCCACCCTGTATACTGGAAAATAATTTAGGAATGTAGCACTCATGTTTATCTACAAGTTTTGTATTTACTTTTTTCTTCGATCTCGGTTAGTATAGGAGATAGGGACCACCGCGCTCTTAGTAACTCACCCTGTATAAAACATATAGGTGTGTGCATGGGTATGTGTGTATGCATATCTATATATATAAAACACAGTTGTGTTGGTGTTGAGCACTTATAACTCGAGAACGGCTGGACTGATTTTTATGATTTTTGCTTTATTGGATTTGTCTTTGTCCATCCTACGATAATAAATCGAAAAAATCCAAAAAAAAAACAAATAGAAAAAATATCTATTTTACTTATTTATGAAAAAAACTCACTAAGCCCGGATACGGCGCCATCTCTTATAACCGATACCAAGTTTACCGTCACATTTTCATTGCAAACCATGTGGATTTTATTGTCACACACTTTGCACAAAAACAATTTGAGGAAGGCACTTTACTTTTAATTGTTCTTCACAGTAAAAATGTCCAAAAATAAATAGAATGACAATGTTTTAATTGTGTATTTTATTTTGTTGTTGGTTCGTTCATTCCGAAAGAGCGCGAACTGGTCTCCCTGTCATTTCTTGACGCTTGACCATTGACGTTCTGTGGCTAAGTTCCGTTTCTCCTCTTAGGCATCCCTTGATAGCCGAGTTCCGTGGCGACTGTTCGGAGTGCTCCGTCCGGCTGGTGTCGAGTGGCAGAGAGCCAGGTTATGTGTCCGCCACAACCATTTTGTATACGGCGCCATATATGATAGGTACCTAGAACGAAGCTCGCCGTTGTGCGGTAATTTCATTGCAGATACAGTAGAACAGAATACTGCTAAGGAACTGGAGCTATTCCAAACAGAACTATTCCACTATTCCGATCAGATAAAGTGGTGCAGAAAGAGTAGATCAGATAGAATAGTGCAGATACAGTAGAACAGATGGAGTATTGCAGTGCAGATAAAATGAAACAGGGCTGCGCTGGAGATTTTTTTTGTTTTTTTTACATTTTTTGAACATTCTTGTGCCTTTATAAGAATAATGCCCACAAGATGCCTAAAAAGGGATGATGTAAAATTTTAATTTTAGGTGACTTCTGATCCAGAGAGTAAAAATTAATTTTCTTCAACCAAAGCCAAATTCACCATCGAAAAAAACTGAATTTAATTCAGTTAACAAAATCTTTTTTTTTTTAAAGATAATTCCCCAATTCAAAAATTTAGTAACTATATTGGCAACACAAGCCTTTTCTACATAAAAATTTTGAAAGCATTGACAATTTTACATTGTATTGCCAACATAATGTCATTTTGACTTTTATCTTTAAAAAAAAAAACGCACTTTAGATACGTTAACACAACATTTAATAGGTATTTAATAATTCAGAGGAGGAACGAAGTTCGCCGGGTCAGCTAGTTAATAATAAAGAAAAGTTGAAGATCATGTACTTAGATGTAGTTGTTTACATCCACCTAAAAATTAAGAAAATTAACGTAACACACGGAAAAGTTGAACCAACTTTAACTCAAGGAAATCCGTACGTTAATTTCAATAATAATTATGAATGACAGACAGATTGAACTTGTCTTTTATATCAATGTTATTGGTGATTTCACGTAGGAAAATTAACTTCATTGTAAACAATGTAAACACAAACCTTCTCAGTTTCGTACGTTAATTATAATTTTTCGTACGAATAAGTTACGTTAAGTGGATATAAATGACCCTCTTTTCGACTGCCTGGGTGCATTTTCATGATATATTCGAGCAAATTAAAATTAATAAAATCTGTAACTTTGGTTTTAAATAATAATGGCATAAATATTTGCTTTTCACTGATTATTTTCATTAACTTGGTCTTGGAAATTTGACTCCTGTTGTAATTAACAACAAAAAAGCAAGGGTTCGTTCTATATAATTCCCCAATAATTAGCAAAAAAATGCATGGGGTATTTTTTTATAAGCCCTATGTATGAAAAATAAAACACCAAAATATACACATTAAATTTAAAATCTTCTGAATCATCATGCGAAATCACGTCGTGTTCGGGAGTGCAAATACGCAAACTGTTACGACAGTTTGGATATTCGCAATCACTCCAACATTTTAATCCTTACAAATTTCTTCTTCCACATTTCCTACTAGGTACATATAGATATCACCTATTGATAAAAAAAAGCAGTTCTACTATGTCCTAACTGTATAAATAGACTTTGGGGAATTGTTGGTATTGTGCACTAAACATAAATAAGCAATAGGTATTACGACATCGATATCAACAGATTTTACCAGAATTGTGTTAACTGATTTTAGTTCTGTTAGCACATAAGGTAATAATCTGGTATTAGCTTCTTCTTGAGTACTATCTAATTTTTCCAGGTGAAACAAAGTTCAGAATCCTGGAATCCACCTGTTATTATGACTGTTGATTTATTTACTAGGCTTTTTTTTCATGGTCGGCACACGGCACACACATACAAAAGGAAAGTCCTATATCAACGAATGAACGAATGGAGTGTGTGAGGAGGTGTCGATGGACATTGGTTGCTGTAGGTTGTAGTTTTCGGGGAAGATGCGACTTTCAAGTGCATTCTAGAGTGAGGCGGCCCTCCAGAAAAATGAGTCTCGAAACAGCGATGTTCTAGGTATTTATAACTGAACTGTATGTTGATGAGCTGCTTATGCCTGACGAGTGTTTCTGTTTGGTGCAACTTTGGGAGAAATCAGAAGTCCTAGCTCGTTTGACCACCTTCCGTAGTAATATCGATAGTAAGTGATAGGTCCGCCACTTTTCATCGATGTTCAAGGCTTTGGAGGTTTTGGTTAACTTCGGGTCATCGATAAGACGGACTACTCTCTTTTGTATCGAGTCCAACATCTTGAGCAAGTGTTTGGATACCGATCTCCATATATATTTGCAGTATTCCAAGGATGCTCTTATCTGAGCCTTATAAGAGTAGCAAAAGCTGAAATGGGGTATACAACTTCCTTATTCTATAAAAAGCCCCTAGCTTTTGTGCTGCTGCCTTGCGATTTTGGTGACGTTGTTTCGCCAAGACATGTTATTTTCCACGTTGATGTCCAATACGTTTATGGATGAGGCCAGTGTTGGTCCGGTCATTGTTATAGGTCAGATCCAAGTTTTGCCTTTTTTTAGAAAATAGTTGCTTGCGTCTTTCCTGCAATAATGATTGTTTATGCGTAATGTTGCTTTCCTTCTCCTAATGTTGTAGTTCTTAAATTGATACCATACTGATACCATCAATAATGAAGGAATCTCCCACATAACAGTAAAAGAACATTCATATTCTCAGAATATTCCCTCAAAGTGCTTTTTGGAATGTTCTTTTAGGAATGTTCAATGAATATTCTGAGATTGTTTCGATTGAAATATTCATTTTTGAACGTTCTATTTATGTACTAGGAATGTTGCTTCTATGCACCTACCTGAAAGATCGTGTTAAGAACCTACTTTATATAACATTATTTGAATACGAACATTATTATAATGTACCCTAAAAAATGTTCTTTCGGCTAATGTCTCTATCAAGTATTAAGAATATACCTACCAAGTTGTGCTGAGAAGTTTATGTAGGTAGGTAACAATGATAAGAATATTCTCATATCGTTCACCTAATTATCTAAAGTACCTACTCAAAAATCTAAATTTAACAATTAAACAATATTGATCTACCTAGAATCTACTAAGAATATTATAGGTATATTCTTTTTCTTTTGCTTTGTAGGTCTTCCAAGAGAGGGAGCCACGCGCTATTAAAAATCTACATGTTGCCTAGCGTTTGAATCACCTTGAAACCTGTTTCTCTCAGTTGGCGTGCTTACCGCGACGAGAGCATAATAAGCTCGAAACCGGAGCTTTGGTTAAACACTTGTGTTCTCCAGAGAAGTTTTCCAACAACTCTTTCACTGCCTTTAATATAAAAGGACTGAAAGGAGCATTATTTGGAAGCGAAAATTAACATTCTAAGTATATCCCTAGAATCAAACAAGAATGTTATGTCTAGGATGCATATTGAGAATAATATATGTAGATATATTCTAAGAATATTTAAAGCATATTGGTATAATATTCTTTTGAGTACATAACTATAATGTCATATAAACATTCTTTGAATGTGAGAATATATACATTTCAAGCATATTTTTAGAATCAAACAGGAATATTCTTTTCAGGATGTACTGAGAATCTCATAGGTATATTCTAGGAATATCCTAATGGATTTCCCAGGAAGTTCTTAGGTATTGCAAACAGTATTACAGTATTTCTACAATCTTTTCTCAGAACATTCTCAGGACATTCGCAATGGTTTTGGCGAACATTCTAAGCACATTCCTCCTAAAAAAAGAATATTCTTATTACATTCTAAGGATGCAATTTTGTTATGTGGGCTACTTCCCGACAAGTCGTTAAAGTAGTGATAAATTACTAATTTTTTTTGCTTATTTCATTGAACCGTCATCATAAATTTAATACTTATTGTGAAAATTTATATGCATGGTGCATTTGCTCGAATAATCATGAAAATACATCTACGCTCAAAAAACAGGCAGATCCAGGGAATTGCGACGCGCCGCGAAGTATTGCGAAGCTACCCGGAGTAGTGCACGGCCGGTAAAACTCTCAACTTCAAGTGACGATATCTTGAAAACTATGCATCGCGGAGTATCGCGGTTTTTTTCAAAAAACGTGATTCGCTGATAGTATGGCAGGAATCCCTGAAACAAAAAAGTTTCTCGCTTACTGAAAAAAATTCTGCATAAAAAGTCTAAGATAAAGTTTTACCTAGTTTTACGAATAAAGCGAGTTTTTCAGAAAAACAAAATTATCTTAGTGATTTTCGTTAACGCATTCTCTTCAGAATAAAAAAAAATAATAATGAAATTATCTCAATTAGTTTCGGAGATATCGCGAGGTATGTGTGAAAAAGTATGAAAACCGAATTTTGACAAATCTATGACATTTTTCGATATAAAAATTGTTGGAACTAGTAAAAAAAAGAACCCCGCACATTTCTTATGGAAAAAAGATCTATGTGGAATTTTGCTGAATTTTTGATATTGTGTATAGGGAGTCGTCCTTAACAAAAGTGATCATTGCGCTAATGTTCAATACGTAGCTTGTAAAAAATTATTCCTTCAGGTGTATATTTTAGAGCTCTTATATCCACCACTGGATCTCCGGCTTTTCTTCCGGGTCTTATAGAGGAGTATATTAGATTATCGTTAAAATTGGTAAAAAAATCATATTTCACTATTTTGACTTCATATTTTTCTGGTTCTGATCTTGCTTCTTCAGATATTCGGGCATAATCACTAGGGAGATAAATTTTTTTATTGCGTAGTTTTCTTTCTATGGTAGCATGTACACTATCGCATTCCAGCTGCGTATGACCTTTGACGAGATATTTCTGTTCAATTATAATATTGAGTTCCTTTGATAAATTTAAAAGAGCATTGGACATGACACTATTCCGGTTTTGGTATGTGCAACCATCTGATCTGAGTAAAGTATAATGGGTTTTCCATGACTTAAATGTATTCTTATGTAGTCCACAACAAATGATGCAAATGTGGATGCTTGTAAGTCAGCTTGGGTCTCGTCAAACCAATAACATGTGCACTGTTTCGTTGCAAGATTATACACTGTAAAGTTATGAACACAGAGCTTTGTTTTGAAATACACAGCACTTGCCATTATTGAGGGACAAACTTTTACGGCTTGCAGATCCATGGTCACAACATGCTTGACTCCTCTCAAACTTCCTTCCTTGTGTTTTACCTTTTCCGCTCTAGCTCTATCTTTCTGGTATTGGTGTTTCTGCCACTTTTCTTCGTTAAGATTTTTTTCGTTGTATTGGCAACAAGTATCGCATTCATCTTTCTTCGGCTTGTATAGTGAGACATTCTTCTTTTTCAGTAATGTGGTCAAGGAATTTTGGCTCATTGCTTTGTGGTTCGATTCCTTCGCGGCATTTACATACACATTGTAGAGCTCGGTAATTGTTGTAAATGATTGCTCTAAATACATTTTATTAGTATCTTTCCTACAATAGTGTGAAGGCAATTTATTCAAGTTGTCTATAAATGTGTTCATGAATTCATTGGGAACCCGAAAAGACCCTAAGATTCCTTCTGATTTTTTTTGATTTTTTTTGCCCTCATTTATTCCATATTTACTGTGGTCAACCCAATTATTTACCTGCCATTCACGAAGACCAAGTGTGGATAAAACCATTTTCTTGCAGACAGAGATGTTTTCTTTACCAGCTTTCAGGGTATATCTGAGTGTTCCACTACGTCGTGATTCGTTATTTTCTGTTTTGCGTTGTTTTGGACTTTCTTTGGTAACCGTGTGGCACACAAATGTTTTTCTTTGATCCCAAGTTAAACTGTCCCAAAATTTTGAAAATATCTCTTGCCTTACATTTTCAGACAAATCATTGCATTTTCTTTTTTTAGATTTAGCACAAAACGTCGAGGTACATGTTGGTCCCAATGTGCGCTCCGCTCTCTGTGTATCATGGAAAGTATTTGTTTGATTTGCACCTGGTCTTCGATATCCCAGATATTTTTTTCCTTTTTCCCTTAGTTCTTGATTAACTCTCTTAGTATTAATACCAATTACTCGCTTTACTGCTTTATTAGTCGTATTATCATGAGCAATAATATCTTCATTGGGCCGAATTACTTGTTGGGCAGACTGGTCAGATAAGCGATCATTATCAGAAGATTCATTCTCATCTTCAGTAGGATGGTAATCAGTGTCAGTATCTGAATGTATCGATTGACTTGCCACGAACGGAGGTGGATCATGACTGATGGGATCCGGAGATGCGGTACTGACAGTGCTAAAATTTGCCCTATTATTACTGTCTACCAACTCCATAGGTTCTTGCTCTAAAGTCATAATCGTGGTATGAACATCAGGGTCTTCTTCCAAATTGTTGTCGACTAGATGCTCGTTTCGATCATCATCCAATATCTTATCTGCAAGTTCTGTCGGAGTAGTACAAATATAATATCTTGAAATCTGAGCGCTGGAATTTGCAGTTTCGGGGTCCATAATTTCAATGAAACTATCATTAGTTGCGATATCCACTGGCAGGTCCATTATATTGAACAGGGTATCATTATTTTGATTTATATTCATTGTGGTATCTAAGCATTCCGTCATATCTTTGGCGGATCTCTTTGTACTTCTTTCTTCTGCATTGCACAGAGCTAAGATTCTTTTCGTGCGTGAGTTCATTTTCAAATCACTGATTTTTACACCTGAAAAAAAATCAATACCTGGTAACTTAATTTCAGAAAATAATCCAATAACTCGTAACTCAATATTCAAAGAAAACACGACTCAAGAGCAATATAAATAAGCTATAACCAATGCTGTGGTACGAAAACATAATTATTAACTACTTACCTCTCTTTTAAAAACATCCAAATACAAAATTTATTGCAAATTCTAGTAATAATTGATTTAAAAGCAACACACACCGAAGTATTCAAATACGCTGACTTACGAGGTATTTACTTGAAATTTATCGACTTTGATTTACGTGGTATTGGTTTCGCGCCATTTTTTTGGTAACGTATTTTTGTAAGTGCTTCACCGTTCAATAGATGACGCCTTAAGTTCTCAAGAAAGTAAACGAGTCGAAATCGAAAAATGATGAATTCCGGACTTACGAGGTATTGATTTGAGGCCATCGATAAAAATGTCTGTAATGCGGTATAGAATGTAATCAGCAGTGCGCAAAATGGGTTATACTAGGTAATCGCGGTATACGCTCGCACGAGTCGCACGCGGGATAACTATTTCCTATAACAAGCCTGTATTTGGGCATTCAGACTATTTTTCAAATAACTGTCACGTCGTCAAATTTCAGCACATTTGCACTTATAGTTCCTGAGATAGAATCGTGTTAAGCAATTTGGGCTGATTTATCAGTTATTTTTTAAATTTTTATGTCAATTTGTGCATTGCATCCCTTTTTCCTGTTCCGCAAATTAGAACTACCCTTTTTCTGTGTATTCTTGTTAAGGTTGTTATGCTGGACTTGGACAGACGGAAATTTTGCGAAAAGCTAATTTTTGTATATTTAGGGATGGTATTTCAATATTACCTTAAAATCAAGACTTAACTAAGGTACCCTTATTGTTAAGGTGAACTTGAAGTCAATTCATTCAGGTGGCTTAAAATCCACCTTGATTTAAGGGAAATTTGATATACGGTGAAACTTTTATTAAGAATGACTTAACGTTATTCTGTACCTTAAGGGAACATTGAAATACCGGCCCTAAGAAACGTTCTCCTAACTATCCAGTTTGTATATGTATCGGCACTGAGCTTTCCTATAAAACTCTTAGCTTCTGCAAAATTACTTCCCATCATTTGCATCTAATTGGAGCCTTATATTCTTGACAACTTCCAAATTCCAAAGTTTCTATTTCTACCTCAGGTTGTAATTTTTTAAAATTAAATCTTTTTACCTACTTTGCTCACCCATCTTGCTTTGTTTTCACTTCCAACACTCACACACTAAATGAAAATGAACGATTGTATGCGAATCGTGGGTTCTAGAAGAACCCCTGGATACTTTCGGAGTTGTCATGGTGTTTCACTCCATTACTGAACCAAAGCTGGACTAGGCTTGGAGGCGAAGCTTATAGACTAGATGTTCTCTACATAGTAAACTATGTAAAATAACTGCTCGGAGACAGGGGCGTGACACTCAAAAAATTCTCGCCTTCGGCGGATATCGGGTATCCTTCGGCTAGCCGTCCCTGCTCTTTGTCTCGAGAAATCCTATGGCCACCCCACCCTACATAAAAAAAGGCCTCGCAATTCGGATGTCGCCGACGTCCACGTTTGGTTTGGCTACGCCACTGACTAGATCTACCAATCGAAAACGAGATAAGTTAAAACTGTGAAAAGTGATAAAAATGGCGGCCCCCTATGCGTTACCAATAAATCGGATGCGCAGTCGTCTAAGCGCATTCTATTTCCCTCACATATCTCTGGTTTATGGCCATTTCTACCACCTATTTTAGGGAAGCCTTAACGGTAAGTATTCCCTAAACTGACATTTCTCCATGGAAAACTGTCAGTTTAAGGAATACTTATCGTTAGGGCTTCCCTAAAATAGTTGGTGGAAACGGCCATTAATCTGTCTGTATAACCTAACCTATTTTCCATGCTAAGATAAATAAACAATCCTGAATTTTAACCTATACGATAGTTTTAGCTATTTTGTTTAAATGTTAACAATCACATAGCTAGTAAATTCTGCATAATTTTTTACTTTTAATTAAATTTTCTCAATAGTCCTCATTACTGGTATTACCTATTAAACATATTTTTCCAAAGCAACTTTGCACAAGTTTACACGGTGTACTTTCTGTGACGTCACGTTACTCCTTAATCTCTTTAGGCTCGCTTTCCTCGGATGCGGAACGGAGACGGAACGCAAGCGTGACGGAGTCGTAGCGCTTCCCGGCGTATCGCGCTAGGAAGCTAGTGCTTTCCTCGAAGGCGACGCAACGTGGGCGGTTCGGCAATCCATGTGTGAAAATAGGCTATTTTTTATTTTAATAAACATATGTACAGGGTGTCCCAGGGAAAACAGTCCACCCCGATTTATTGGATTTAGGATAAGAATCTGGAAAAACGCTCGGACACGTCGATTTTTGATTTGAGGGGGAACTATTTTTCAGTTTTTTTCATCCCTGTAGTTTCAACCCCCTAGCTAGGGGGAGAACAACCCCCCAAATTTGAATAGGGGATAGGGGTCATGTCGTATCTCTTTTTAAAGGTCTCATCGAGTTCTTTATCCCCCTAGAATTTCGTCTCATTATTTTCATCCGTAACGAAATGACAGCTTGTCAAAATCTTGGAAATAGACTATTAGTTTTAGTGGGAGCAAAAGCGATACTTACCTCCCTTAATAAAAATACTTGAAATGAAGTTTTTTCTTATTATTATTAATGAGGTGTACATGAGAATAGTAAATTGTAGGTATTTTTACTCGTATTTTTATTAAGGGAGGTAAGTACCGCTTTTACTCCTACTAAAACATAGTCCAAAAAACTTCATTTCAAGTATTTTTATTAAGGGAGGTAAGTATCGCTTTTGCTCCCACTAAAACTAATAGTCTATTTCCAAGATTTTGATAAGCTGTCATTTCGTTACGGATGAAAATAATAAGATGAAATTCTAAGGCCATAAAGAACTTGATGAGACCTTTAAAAAGAGGTATGACACGACCCCTATCCCCTATTCAAATTTGGGGGGTTGTTCTCCCCCTAGCTAAGGGGTTGAAGCTACGGGGATGAAAAAAACTGAAAAATAGTTCCCCTTCAAATCAATCATCGACGTGTCCGAGCGTTTTCCCAGATTCTCATCCCAAACCCAATAAATCGGGGTGGACTGTTTTCCCTGGGACACCCTGTATATAAATAGATAAATTATACAACACAGGATACCTACTGCCACAGCCACACTAAAATCAATCAACAACTAACTTTGCTTTTCTGGAAAACTCGCCGTAGCGCCACCATTGCTTAGGAAAGCACATCTTCATATTTTTATGACGGCAACGTCTGCGGCACCCGTTCCGTCTCCGTGCCGCATCCGAGGAAAGCGAGCCTTTTGCTCGCTCCGCCGAGCGTCAACCCAAACACGCCCATAATGCATAAAATGTGAAGTGAACTTTTTTTCACGAATGTCAACTTTGACGCACGAGTTGAAGGCGAAGTGTTGCCCAATGGTGTTGCCAGACGTACGATAATTATCGTATTTGTACGATAATTACAAGAGGGTACGATGTACGATCGATAATGGATAAATGTACGATAATTTCTGTATGTTGATAAATTTTAAAAAATATATATATATACTAAAATCGCTGACTTCCATTAAAAATTGAAATTCCAGCTCTTCTTTCCGTGCCTGAATTATTACAAGGGGCAGGGGATAACAGAAATTGGTAGTTTTTTTCTTCTATATTTTTTCTAAATGTTTTTTTAATAAAATTATTTTGCAATTACACCCTAACCAACCCCTTTAACCTTTAACTTAAGGGGGCTACCAGCCTCCGATGAGGTCAAACTAGTAAAGTCAGCTTTGTACGATAAAATCATGCAGAAAACGATAATTTCCACAGCATTAGTACCATAATTTGGCTTTGGTCATCTGGCAACACTGAAGGCGAGTGCGACAGGACAGACATAAGTGAAAAAAGGTGCAATCACCGTCGTGGATCGTGCTTGATGGTATCGGGTACTATGGATAGCTATCAATTCAGTGTTGCCAATAAGCGGGTAATTACCCGATTTGCGGGTAATTTCACTGAGAGCAGGGTAATTTTCTAACATTTTATAAATCGGGTAATTTCGGGTAATCCAAGCTTTGTTAACTTTTACTACAATGTTTGGAAATTGTGGTAGATGGCGCGAATGGCCGATCTGTTAAGGTAATGTTTCGTTTCTGTCGAGGGTGATCCGGTCATATTTGCTACTCTTTATTAATTTTCCCTTCTAGAAAGAAAGATAGAAAATAGAAAGATCAAGGAAAGAGAAGGCGAGACCCGGGCCGGCGACAATCATCTATCTCTCTGTCAGCTATCCTTTAACCTGAAATAAATTTTGATGCGAAATGCGGCTTTGCAACTTTAGCATTACGATTGTTCGGACTAGTTCAGAATCAGTCCTGAATTCAATTGCGCTTGCGCATTTGTTTATATATGTTCGGAATAAACAAATCCGCAAGCGCTGTTTCAGTTCCGAATTGATTCTGAACTAACTCCGAACAAACTTAATATCGATTGACTTGGTATGGCACGAAGCATGAGTGTTTATATCTTTTCCTACGAGCGTGCGCAAAGTAGTACTTTTCCGCACGCATTATCGTTCTCAAAGTTACACTTTTCCGCACTCAGTGCGGATACGGGCCTTATCCGCACTGAGTGCCGAAAAGTAAAAATAATTGTCAAGCACCTGTCGACTTTGACACATGATGACAAATTTTTCCTCTGTTTCTATAGCTATCAGCCAACATCTATACAAACACTTAATATAATAAACTTTGACACATTGTCAGATTTCTGTTCTCAATTTACGTGCAAGAATCTACAAACTTCTTTCGCATCAAATTTAAACGCTTTAAGATGAACAGCTCTGACGAGGATTTCAATTTCCTGTTTTTTTGTTATGTACTTTTTTGATAAATGAATAGTTTCGCTTCAGGTTAAT